TTTCTCATACTCTTCATTAGTTTCTTTTAAGTTGTTTTGAGAGTGATGCATGTTATCCTTTTAATTCTATGGGAGAAATATTCTATTTTTTAAGATGTTTATTTATTTATTTGAGAGAGAGAGAAAGCAGGAACAGAAGGGAGAGCACAAGCAGGAGGAAGGGTCAGAGGGAGAGGAAGAAGCAAACTCCCAGCAGGGAGGGAGCTGAACACAGTGCTCATCCCAGGACCCCAGGATCCTGACCTAAGCCAAAGGCAGACATTTAACCAACTGAGCTACCCAGGCACCCTAAGAAATGTTTTCTTTAAATTACATTGCCATACTCAAAAATAATAGAAGTCCAATGCAGATAGATATCTTACATATGCTCAGTCACTCGTGCTAGGAGTTATTTTCCTACAAATTGAATCACAGTATAGAAATAATTGTAAGAATTATTTTTTTATTTTTTTAAATTTTTTTGAATGCTATCCTTTTGCACTAAACACAAAGGATTTCAGATTAACTCTATTCCTTTTAAATAATGTCAGGATTTTAAGTTTAATAATTTATAAAGATTAGTCAATGTTTATTATTCCCAAATAATTGTCTTTTAAGTGTCCCTAAAGCAAATTGAGCATGTGGTTTCAAAGTAATTGAGGTCAGAGAAAATCTACATAGTTAATAATACTTTCATTAATATTAAACTAAGTTTAGGAAGTATTCAAGTGATTCTAAAATACATTGTAACTTCAGATATACTAAATACAGTTTGGGCCAATTAAAATTCATCAAATAATTGTAATTGCCAATTTTATTTAAACTTCAATTCTTTGTCCCTATATACTCTTGTGGTACAGTATATTGAAATTCATAAAGAATCTTAGCCTTGTTTGAAAATTTAATTGCCATAATTGCCTGTTAATACCTAGAATGTTATTGACACCCCTAAAAAATGACTAATTTCTCTGAGTAAGAAAAACAAAAGCAGTCCTTGACCTCTGGAAACTAGCCCGAGCCTTGAAAGGAAGCGCATATTGTCAGGAGTTAGCCTAGAGCTCACAGCTAGGCCTTGGTGTTCTCCTGTTGGTCATAAACAACCTCCCAGAACACCAGGATCAGACAAGGTCTCATGATGATGATGTGAAGCAAAAAAAGACTTTATAAGTCATGGAAGTATAGACAAAAGCAAGGTTACACTGCAGACCACCTCAATACCAAACAGCCCCCCATCTACTTTTTAATATGAGGGACTACCACTTCTCTGCCAACTATAGCATTAGCTAGATCTGGTCCTCCCTCCCTCTAAATGAAATTTATTAAGACCCATAATCGCAGAATTATCCCTGCTTCCTGAGAGAGCCCAATCCAGAGCAAAGCCATGCTCCTTGAACCCTTCCCAGAATCGCTTCACCAAAGCCCAGATCGTACAACAGTCCCTTTTGACACTCTTACTAGGTTGCCTGTGTCTTACTCACTGCAATGAGCAGTAAACCCAACCTCTTATTAAACTACAGATGTGTTCCCGGTTGGTCTTCGACAGGAGAGTATCGACACATCCATACCCCCTAAACTATGAATATTGAACTAGTAGTTAAGTAAAAATGATATAAAAGAACCTTGTAAACTCTAAAGCTCTATTAAAAAGTTGATGTATTAGTGAGATCTCCAGACTTGGAATTTTGTTTTCAGTAGAATCATCCAAACCCACAAGTATTTTTTAACATTCTACTTTTAAAATACATTTGATGAATAGTTCCCTTTTCAAATATAAAACATATGTACTTTCAACTCTAGGTTTACCATCTCAACTGATTAAAGATGCTGTGACTCTGAAAGAAAAGTTCATTCATTTGAAGAGTCTTTTCCTTATGCTTGGGTAATCTTTGTTCTAGGTCAGACTTTAAATTAGTATTTAAATTAATGTCAAGTTATATCTTTTTCCTTTCAAAAATAGTAATGGATCAATATTTCTTAAACACTGTGTTGCCAGTGCTAGAAGTAAATAACACTTATTGTTCCTTTAGTTACCACTTTGCATGTGGAATTTTAAAGGACTGTATTGTATGCATCAATACAGAGGAGGAGGTTTGGTCCCATCTATTTGTTTAACTGCCCTTTAATAGCCATCACTTGACTTCAGTGTGTGCTTGAGAACAGTATTATAACGTATCCTTTTATTGCTCTAGTAATGATTGGAATGGATATATCTACATTCAGTCTTGAACTCACTACGCCAAGCAAAGTTAGGAGGTTAAATTTGTACCCATTTATCTTCTAGAACAGAATCTGCTCGATCGCCATCTCTCTGGCATCCAGAGAGGCTGCCCTTCTTAAACTATTTTTATTTGGACAGGGATCCCAAGCTTTCAGATACCCAGATCTTCCATGTAAGATCTGCTGGTTTGTGGTGGTGCCTTATGTAAACATTTTCGTATCAGATCCCTAAAATCCAGAGGCTCCCCCAAAAGGGATTAAAACATAATCCCCTCTCTCTATTGCTGTAGTGGATTAACTCTGTATTCTCTCTGAGGCTGGTTTGCTCCCTGAAGGCTACAACAAAAAGATTCAGTGCTCCTTAAACATACTATGGAATTGGAAGTTGTAATTGGAGATTTCCCAAGGACAGGGGTAAAAATGACACACTATGAAGGCTGAATGTTTCATGACGCGTCTTTTTTAAATAAGGACCACTTCGAAGTCCTTTTATAAACCCCCAGAAAATCTCAATTCAATAGAATGAGATTGGAGTAAAAGCAGAAAGGAGGGCAGTCTTCTCTCAGAAATGCAGAGAATTAAGTAGAGAGAATGCGTTCCCCGTTAAAAGTTCACGGAGATGTGTCCTTAAAAATTCGTAATATATTTCAGTAAATCAGTATGTATAGTTTTGATAATGTGTTCAGCGATTTTTTTTTCATGCCACCCCAATTTAATTGTTTGGATATGTTAAATTACTTTTTAAGAGCAAGGAATAGCTCGCCATTTTAAATGTTTGTGACCATTCTACGTCTCCAAATGCCAGAAACCTCTATTAAACCAGAAATCACTAGTCGCCAGTGTATAGAATGACGACTTTCCTGAGGTTTTAGCAAGGCCCAGCGACATTTAAGAAGACACTGTTTATGATGTCAGTCAAGGCACCTTCTTTCTCACCTCGCCCCAATCAAGAGTAAGCTTTCTGGATTTCTCCGAAAGGGAAATAGGGAAGGTGGCATCCAGAAGAGCGTCCTGGTGGCGGAAGGGTTAAGGGAGCGGTTCGAACCGGCCCGAGCGTTGGGGGATTCCAAGGAGGGCGCGGGAGGCAGGAGGCGCCTCGGAGCGCGCGCACAGACCCTCCAATAAACACAAAGGAGGGCCTAGGGAATAGAAACCCAAATCCACTTGTAATCGTACAAGAGATTCGGGCATAATTACTTGAGCAACCTAGATTAAGATTGATGAGCCTTTAAAGTGGCGCTTCAGATCGACCGCCTCGCCCTTTGGAAAGAAAAACCTTGTGGAGCCGAGCTGGACCCCGACTCCGCTGGGCTCCGCGGCGGAAACCCGGGCCGGGAGTCCGCGCGCCCGGGGGCCGCCCGCCCCCGCCCCCCCCTCCACCAGTGCGGGCTCCTGGGGCACGGGGAGCAGTAAACTGAAAGAAAGGGCTTGGCGTTAGTCTGAGCCGGACGGTCAGGATCTGGGGTGAAGGCCGACACTGACACAGTTTGCTTCCCGTCCACCCCGTTGAGCGCGGCAGAAGCCGGCCGATTCCTCTGTGTGCCTCCCGCAGCAGAAACGGCCGGGCTTTGTGCAGGGCGGTCGCGGGTTTAGTGTGTGCTACTCCCTGGAAACGTGAACTTTTCGGCGGTTCCCGCGCCCGGCGGGGTCGGGCCTGCTATCAGTGGCCTTGGCGGTGGCCAGAGGAGCCGGTCTCCCCGGGAGGAGCCGCCGCCGAAGGGCCCGAGCCTGAGCGGCCGCAGGGGACCTGCCTTTTTATTGCCTTTATCCTACTGTTACTGTGACTCATTTGACTATATGCATTTCAGGGCGGGCGGGGGGGAGCGGGTGGAAGGGAACATAACGCGCCCTTGCTACCAAAAAAGAAGAGGGGAAAAAAGGGGCGGGGGGAGAGAAGGAAGGAAGGAAAGAAAGAAAAGAGAAGAGCAAAGAAAAAGAATAATTTCTGATTTCCGTGTCTGTATCTTAAGTACAGTATAGCAAAAAATGCCTCCCCTTTTGGGGAATCTTAAAGGGCAGCTAAGTAATCCCCTTCGAATTTATATTCTAAGACGTAATTTTCAACGTTAACTCAGACTGAGGGAATTCGAAGTAAGCACCTCAGTAGGCACACTTTCTAAAAATCTTTTACTGGAGATGAGTTTCTCTAGTTTTCCAAGTTGAGAGAGAGTACTTTTCGGACGCTTTTCTGAGAATCTTCTTGTTCAAGCGTCTTATAATCATCACTTTTGATTGCGGGTGAGAAGATCACTGTTAACGATTTTTGTTCTTTTTTATATAAGAAATGTACTTAGTATCTTTGTGTGCGTGGATATGGATGTGGCGCGCCCTAGGACGCTGATACTAATCTTCCTGCAAGTTGCAAACCCGTTAGTACAGTGGAATTTATATATTTAGATCCCATACCCCTTCACATCCTCCCGCCCATCCTTGGGGAACGCTTTACAGGATGGCTGGTCTTTGGGGGCAGTGCTGACTGCCTGCGGTCTCTTTCGGAAAGCCGGTGGTGCTCACTGGAGAATCCGAGCATTTATAGGATTTCTAGTTGGAGGTTACAAACTCGCTTGCTAAGGGTCACTTATTCGGTATCTTGACCACTTGGGGTTTTATGGGATTATTTATCTCTACTCTTGTTATAAGATAATGTGCAAGAGCTAAGCAGACCTTATCTCACATGAAAGAAGCTGGCCGGGTTACACTGGCACCATTTTCTTAGTGCATCTTTAAAAATAAAGACCTGCGGCACCCTTTGGGAGGGAGCGGAGTGGGCCTCAGGGACTGACTCTGGTGCCCTTGTCTTTCAGGCCCAGTGGTTCTCAGCACCCCAGCCCAGCTCATCGCTCCTGTGGTGGTGGCCAAGGGGACTCTCTCCATCACCACGACCGAAATCTACTTCGAGGTAGATGAGGATGATCCTGCCTTCAAGAAGATCGACACGAAAGTGAGTCAGAGTGATTCGTGTACAGTACTAGTGGCTTTCTGGCAGGAAGTGGTTTTCAATTTTGCTTGGTTTTAAATGACAATGGGGGAGGGGAGCGCATTTCCATTTTTGTCATAGGAAATAAAATGAATGAAATAACACACGCTCTATTTTATGGGGTTGAAAAATATATTAATGATTTTAAATCCTGTGTTACCAGAGCATGCACATTACAGTCTCTCCATGAGTGCCTTTGTGTGCGCTTGGGTAAATTCGGTCGGTAAGCCAGTTGTTCCAAAGCCTCTGGGGTACAGCATCCCAGGCTCTCTGGGAAGACCAGGAGGGGTCTTCTGAAATATTTTAAGATGACTTTTACTTTCTAACTGTAAATTGCAATGTGAATTACTATTCATTGAAAGGTTGTAAGGAAACTGGGGGGCAGCAGCGTTTAGATATAAATTCCTCTCCATTATTACATCAATTTTTCATCTCCTGAAGTGAGAATGAGTTTTACATGTGAATTTAGAACAAGAGAAACATTGTTTGAGAAGCGTTGATTTAAAATGTATATAGGTATATACTAGCAATCAGATGTTTAAAGTTCGTGTTCTTCTGTGGGTGTAATGCCAGAAAAATACCTACTTGGACAGTATGAAATACATAAATATTTATTTATTATATCTTAATGTATAGATTTTAAAACCTGATATTAGGATAGGTCTACACCCCTGCTCTTTCCATTGAAACCAATTTGATTGTTGTTTTAACTTTTATGTTGCTGTGCAGTTTGCAAACTTTTTTCCTGACGTTAAGAATTCAAGTGTCATGTCAGATATTCAAGCATCAGTTTATAAAGATCTTTCTGTGCAGTGTTATCAGAAGGAACTATTCTAATATCGTCAAAGACAAATGCGCCCACAGATCCAGAACTATACTACTTATATGTAATTTTTACATAGAGATAAAGTATCATTAAACACTTAGTAGAAGAGAAACTGGAATTCTAAAATTCATTCCCATCTGAATTAACCACCTACCTTAAGGCCTGTAGGTGATTAGTGCTCTCAGCACTTGTTGACTATTAAAATACTTGGAAGGACAGTCATAGGACTTCTTGCACTTCCAGCTCCCAAAGGCTGGAATGTTTAAAATGGGTTTGAATGTAGTGTATTTGATTTTTAAATAATCGAAAGTGTGTCTTTATGCTTTTATCATTAGTTTGCCCTGTGAAGTAAAAAGAAATTTGGGATTTCTGATTAACTTACTCAGCTAATGGAACACTTACTGCATAAAACAAGATTTGACATAAAATGGTCAGAAATAATCTTTATTTGGTTAGCACAGTTATACACATTTTGAAACTTTCATTATGACTTGAAGTTCACTTTCTCTGAGTTAGTCTGATTTTTAACTGAGCAGTCTGTACCATCATGACATAGTTTTTCCTTATATTATCAAAAATGCTACAGAAATACTAATCTAGAAGAGCAAGCTTTCAAGGGTAGATTTAAGTGTGTCTGTTGTAGAAAGAAATAGTCTTATAAGTAAATCATTATCTTCTGTAGCTGTACAAAGAGTTATCTCCAGGATTTTAAGGTTTTATTTTTAATTTCATTAGCATACTCCTTAAAATGTTTAAAATACTCGAGTGGGTTGAATTTTCAAAATGGAGCATTACCTCCTTTGATAGAAAAACAATTTAAAGTGAGACACAACAACTTTTATTTTACTTCATTTATTAGCTTCTAATTAAATAAAAACCAGCAACAGAAATTAAAATCTAAATCACAAAAGTAGTTATCCAGTGTATTTCAAGTGCATTTTTCAAATATATAATTCAGATATTCAAGCGTTATTATATAAGCTGAATTCAAATTTCTTTGAATATATTTAAATAACATTTCAAGTATATTTATGGAATGTTAGAAATAGAACAAGCATTATATTTGAAACAAAATGTAAACTTTTTAAAGTTCAGACACTTTCAAAGACAGATAAAAGTACCAGGAGGAAATCTACCTTTAAATGGTATCTCTGTTAGTGGAAAATGTCTGGCAGTCTCCAAAACGGCAATTTAACTTCTGTTCACCAAATCACAAAACACCAACATCCACACTTTCAAAGACAAAGTGAGATCACAATATTTGTTACAAATCAAAATATACATTACACTTTCCTTCAGATGGCATTTCCAAATTGTGTTTACTCACAGACAGATGCACTTAAATCACCAGGATTGCTATAATCCTTTGAAAGTTAGGCAGAGTGTTCGCTGTGGTCTTGCATTACAGCCAGGTTGTTTTCCCGGTATTACTGTGTACTTTGCAAGGGAAATCCTTTGTAAAGAAGTCTTCTAATACTTGTGGGTTTGGGTTTTTCTCCATCCGCTTTCCCTACTTCTTTTTCTCCCCTTGGAGGGGTGGGTGAGATGATGCCTAAACGTTGTTTTGTTACTCCTTTTTAAGGAAGAAATTGTTTGCACTGACAAGTGGAATATTAGGAATCGAACAGGAAGTTTACACTGAATCAGGTCTTTGAGAAGAGTAATCGCATTTCGGCTCTCGATTAAATTGTCCTCTAAAGTTTTTCCAAACTTTTCGGGTTGGTCAGGATCTCTCTTGCCAGTCGCCACGTTTGTTTGGCAGCGTTCTCCAGAGCCGAATGAGGTTTGCCTTGAAACAGATCTAAGTTCGGTAGGAAGTAGTGAGGACACCGCCGGCACTGCAGGCAGGAGATAAGTTGCAGCAAAATCCCGTTAAGCCGATCACCCAGGCAAGACTCGTCCCAGTCTGACTCCCGGGGATGCTTTTCACACTCGTAGGAAACCAAAGTCTTCATGTGGTAATTGTTCAGGGGCTGGCCTGGCAGTTCAAGGTGACGATCCCGTAAGGTTTTGAGGATGGAGAGGCATTTCTTTCTGCAGCCCCCCATCTGCAGTCTGTTCTCTGCTTCCGCGAACTGCAGCACCCAGGCGTCGCTCTCGGCCGAGCTCTGTTTGCCGGCCAGGGAGTGGCACTCCTTGGACAAGAGATTGAACCCTTCCGCTTTGACCTCCGCCACCCGGTTGGGTCCCGGCCAGGGGATGTGGGGAAGTGGCCAGTGGGCAGCACTCCTCGGCCAGATCCCGGTGCATTTAAAAGCCGGGGTGATCTGCACCACGTACCTATCTCGGATTCTCAGTTTCACTTCGCTGGTGTCTGCCACCATCTTTACCACATCCCTGTAGCTACATTTGTCTACGGCTTGAGCCACCAGCGTCTGAAACCTGGACCGGATTTTGCGCGCCGAGAGGTAGCCGGAGGCGGTAATGAATTCCACCCAGAGGGACATGCTCCTCTTGCGGCCGTCGCTCAACTTCAGCACCGCGCAGCCCGGCAGCGAGCCGTCGTCCACAAAGTTGAACACCCCCATTTGGTTAAGGTAAAGCACCACTTCAAATTCGGTGGGGGAGATGACCTCGAGGCCCTCGTAGCGATTGTCCATCTCGTTGAGAGAGCTGATGAACCGGGGCTCCTGCACTTCCACTTCTTTAAGCACGTCGGAAACTACTTTGCAGACTTCCCGGATAGTTTTTGCAATGGCAGCTTTCCTGGCTTGGCATTTCTCATTGTAGTATTTATTCAGATGGTATACCAGCTTGGCCTGGGCTGCGATCATGTTGGGGCAGAGATCCGGATTGTACACCGGAGTCTCGCAGTAAGCTGTGGGATCCAATGCGGCTGCTAGCGCTGGAGCCAACTTCGGTGGAGAAACGGGCCGCCGCGCTCAGAAATGTACCAAAACGCTCTCCGATGTGTTGCAGCGGTGGATTCCTAGCCGCTGCTTTCCCCTTCCTTTTATCTTTGAGCCCAGACGGTCTTAAAGTGAAAGATTGTTCTCCCCCCTCTCTCGGTCTTTCTTCCTCTTTTAAAGAATCCTTGTGTGAGAGAAACGCATGGAGAGATCACCTTCTCAGTAATGAAAACAAAAGTTGCGCTGAGACCCAGCAAAGCTCTTCCAGTAGTCAAAATAATCAACCCTTTCCGTATTTATTTACGCTTTCCCGTAATCATTGTGTATGCTGGACTGTTAATCAGATGGAGGAAAAGTGTGCTGAGTGTGTCGGGGGTGAGTGTGAGTGTGTATATGTCAGAAGAAGCTGCTGTTGGTTTGTCTAAGAGCCCAGATGCACTCGTGTGGAAATTATAAAGGCAGGGCCAGGCAGGCTGGCGGCCAATCGCCACTGGGCTCGTCACGACAGCCTCCTTCAGCTCCAACCCGGCTAATTAATCCCCCCTCATGGATATAGGCACACAAACTAAAGGTAGGAGGCTGCTGCCGGCAGAAAACCACGCAGGCCACCTAGACAGTTTTGGAGATCAAGAGGAATCTCTCAGCTTTGGTATTAATTGAAGCATATTGACATTTTGAAAAGACTTGGCAAAGTGGTTCTCTTCTGTGTTGAAAACCCTGCCTGTCTTTTTGCAGGGGAAATGCAAATACAGGTGTATTAATGGCCATCCATCAATTAGTGAACTAGATGGAGTCTTCTAAAACAAAAGTCAGTAACTTGCATTTAGGGTAAGATAATTAATGTCTGGTAATCCTTGAGGTCTTTTTAAATGCAGGTTGAGAGTTTGCTCTTTCATGTATATGTAAGTTGGCTTTAGATGGACTGATGCCTGTGTCATGTGGGGGATGTTCCTGTATGTTAGAATGGGGTTTTGGGTTGGGTTTTTTGTGCGTGTGTGTTTGGTTTTTTGTGTTTTGTTTTGTTTTTTAACATTATGCAGTGTTTTAGCTCTGGTTTTTTCCCCTCATTTGCAGTTGTTGAAAGGAATATGAAAATTATTGCTTTGTTAGGTGTTGTCTACCCCAGTTTAAGTTAGGATGTTTAAAAAATGTTTAGTGTTACTCCCCCCCTCCCCAACTGCAGCCCTCTTTGTACTTTGGTAGACTTGCCCAACATAATCAGGACAGTAAGCTTTGTATGCACTGGTGGAAATATTTTAAAAATAACTTATCTCTGTGATTGAGAGATT